AAAAACAATAAGGTTGCCAAAAGCCAAAGATCCAAACTAACAACAGGCTAGGGTTTATGTGCATGTACTGAAAATTCCACGGACATGGGAAGAAATGGAGACAAAAGAAAACCAGAAGACAATGTATAAATGTAAGGTCTCCACATTATTCAGGATAAGAAAACTACTTTCTACTAAATTATAATGTCCTCTATCACACGATGTCTCGGAATTGAGTCAAGCAATGAAACAAGGCACATCTAGGCCAGCAGGAGGTATACTATACATTCTTCTCTCTCATACTGCTTTCTCCAACATTTCTCTTTTAATCCACCAGGCTTCCGACATTAAAAGAGTGCAGCCATACAAGCTTACTAGCTTCAGCAAAGGGATGACCAGTGGTAGAGGGCACTTAAAAGGGTTCATACAGGTAAGTCCAGTACGAGGAAAGTCAAACATAAATTTTAATAAGAAATAAGAAGGTCTAAATAAAGTCTGATAGTAAACAGAACAGCCTGTTTCGCTTCACATAATCCACATTCCTTCCTCTTAATGGAGCACATCGTACTTTAAGTTCAAATATACATTTTTCTAGTTTGGAGATTAGTAACAGAGGACCAGTAAAGGAGTTGGAGCTGTATTAAAAAACAAACAAACAAACAAAAAAACCCAGGTCTCAACAGAAAAGGTTCATTTGAGATCAACTTGGTAGGAAGGCCTGGCATTAAAGCTGTTTGTTGGAAGCTTGAAAGATTCCCTGGGCTTTCTTCGACATTTTTTTTTTTTTTTTTAACACTGTGTAAGAATAAATACAGGAGATTTTACTGTTTTTTTGTTGCTGTACAGCTAAGTTAATTCAGCAAAAATGTCCTAATTACTTGTTGGTCCTCCTTCACCTCAAAACTTAAAACTTAAATGTTTATATAATGCCTAGAGGCTCAAGAAGTGTCCACATATGTATTACATCTGAATGTTCTATTTCTTGACCTCAGGGGTAATTGTGTGTCTACTTCTGTATGTGATGTATTTATCAATAACAGTTTTAAAAATGTTTATAGGGAAAATATTCGTTATGCATTAACACTGATGCAGGTGAGAGCTGGATAAACTCTACTACAAAGTACATAAAGCAATAGAAAAGACAGCAAAAATCTGTCCAATGGTTACTCAAAAGACCCAGAAGGCCATGAGGCAGAGTAGATCAACAGAGCGACCCTGGTTTTCTAGTTGAGTCTAAATCAATTAGAAGTTATATTTTCAAAAAGCAAAAATTTTGATAGATTTTCTGAACTGCCTTCCTTGAATTTAGGAATTTTGTTTTTGGATAAAAATACTTTGTTACATAAATTTTTCTGAACTTCACATAGGCAGCTGTGTTGCTTGTGAACATCTTTAAGAGGATATGATTTAGGTGATAAGAAGTGGGGCATGGTGAAGTTTTCAGCTTACCTTACGTATTTCTGCACTGTTTAAATTTTTTCCCAATGAACATGTACTTTTAGTAATTAAAGAAAAAAACATAATTAGAGTTGTAGGAGTTGGGAGGATATAACAAAAAAAAGAATACATTATTAAAAATGTCTCTCAAGGTGAACAACAAGATCAATCCTCCATAACAAAACAAATTACTCAGGAAAAGTAATATTCACTTAAAATATATTCACATTTTCTGCTGAAATTATAATCCCAGAAAAAGTATTAAGCTAAGCAGGGAAAAGCCAACCATCATTTGAAAACTCTTTGGAGTTGGTGGGGCTTTACTTTATTTATGCAATTTCTAATATATCTTAAAACTACTCTTCAGCTCCTTTCTGGTTTTCTCTCAAATACATTAACATAGTGGTTCTCAGTGTGCGGTCCCAGACCAACAGCATCAGCACACTTGTGAAATTGAAAACTCACAGGCTCTATTCCACATCTACTGAATCAAGAACTCTGGCTTGGATATTCATTTGCAGAAGAATGAAACGGGACTATTTATCATTGTATACAAAAATCAAGTCAAGATGGATTAAAGACTTAAACATAAGATCTGAAACTACAAAGCTACTGGAAGAAAACACAAGGAAAACACTTTCAGACACTGGTCTAGGCAAAGATTTTATAGCTAAAACCTTAAAAGCGCAGGCAATAAAAACAAAAAAGACTTCAGAAGGACTATTTTAAATGAATATGCTTCTGCGTGACAAAGGAAACAAGAGTGAACAGAAAACACACTGAAGGGGAGAAAACATCTGCAAACTATTCATCTAACAAGGGGCTACTATCCAGAATATACAAGAAGCTCAAACAACTCAACTACAAACAAGTAAACAAAAAAGCCACAAAATAATCCCATTAAAAAGTAGGCAAAAGACATGAATAGACATATCTCAAAGGAAGACATACAAATGGCCCAGAGGTATACGAAAAACATTCAACATCACTAATCACTAATTGCATTTGAAATGAAAATGAAAACCACAATGAGATACCATCTTAGCACAGTTGGAATGGCTATTATTAAAAAGACAAAAAATGACAGATGATGGTGAAGATGCAGAGAAAGGGAAACTCATATACTGTTGGTGGGAATATAAGTTAGTACAGGGATTTCTCAAAAAACTAAAATTAGAACTATCATCTGACCCAGCAATCCCACTACTGGGCATTTATTCAAAGGAAAATAAACCAGTATGGATACCTGCACTCCCATGTTTACTACAGCACTATTCACAATAGCAAAGATCAGGAATCAACCTAAGTGTTCATCAACTGACAAATAGATAAACAAAACTGTGGTATACGTACACAGTGGACTATTACTGGGCCATAAAAAAGAATGAAGTATTGTCATTTGCAGCAACAAAGATGGAACTAGAGATCATTATGTTAAGTGAAATAAGCCAGGCACAAAAAGGCGACTATGATATGTTCTTACTCATATTTCGGAGCTAACAAAAAGTTGATCTCATGAAGGTAGAGAACAGAATGATAGATACTAGAGGCCAGGAAGGTTGTTTGTGTATGCAGAGAAGAAGATGAAAAGAGGCTGGCTAATGGGTACAAAAATCTTGTTAGATAAAAGGAATAAGTTTTAATGTTCAATAGCAAAGTAGAATAGCTATAGTTAACAATAATATATTGTATATTTCAAAAAAGCTAGAAGAGAGGCCTTGAAAGGTTCCCAACACATAGAAATGATAAACAATTGAGGTGATACCCCAATACCCTGAGACCTGATCATTACATACTCTATGCATGTAACAACATCACACGTATCACATAAATATGTACAAATATTATCAATAATACTTTTTTAAAAAAGAAAAAAACTCTGGGAGGGGTAGAAGGAGTCAGAGGCAGCAAACTGTGTTTTTATAAGGCTACCAGGTGATTCTGAGTTTGAGAACCACTGTATTATGGTATAATAAACAGTATTGCATTTTATTATAATTATTTTCATTTCACAATATAAACCTGATAATTATCATTTGGTTTAAATACTCCCAGATAACATGTTCCAGGCTAATTTCATATGGATTGCATTTTTTAATAATTAAAAAACACAAATTTGGGGGAAAAGGAAGGACATGAACATGAAAGATATAATGCTTAAGAAAAAATTTTAAATACATATTTGTGGTTCAGGTAACTAGTAACAAACCAACGAGCATGGTCACTTACTATAATGCCTAACATTCTGCAGAGGTCTACACAAGTACAAATTCATGCTAATGAAGAGAAAACATTACATTACTTCCATGACTTCAATTACTATCTACATTAAAGATTCTCAATCGAGGGTACTAACATCTCCTAGGGATTCTCTCAACTTCCACAAGGTCTTATTCTTCCCCACCCACCTATCTCCCAAAATCATGGCCCAACTGGTTATTGTTACTGTAAAGGGTGTATCATACACTTCCAGTGTACTGGATAAATGAAAGTTTAAGAATTATTGGTCTTTACCGTAAGACCTCTCTCCTGAATTTCTGCATGCTATATATTTCCAATTGGAGATCTAATAAGAACCTAAGATTCAATCTGTCTAAAACTCAACTCATCATTTTACCTCACTCCTTTTCTTTCCTGAGCTTAGTGAATACAGCACAAAACTGCCTAAGCCAAAAACCTAACATGTTTCACTTCTCCCTCCCCTGCTACCCCTCAACCAATCACTAAGGCAGTTCATTTTACTTTCAAAGTACCTCTTGATCCATCTATCCTTTTTGCCAGTATTCTGGCCCAGGCCTCCAGAATCTCTTCCCTGGATTAGTAATTCAGATTCATACTCAACTAATTCTGGCTCCAGTTTTATTGTTCCTTCCAGAGAAAGGGAACTTTCTAAAGGGTAAATCTAATCATTTCACTCTACTGCTTAAAATCCTTCAATCAAGATAAAGCATGTAACTACAAAGCTTTCATCACCTGATCTCTGTTTCAGGCTTTAAATCGCATACCATTATTCATGACTCCAGCCGTACTGAATTGTAGCTCCTGAAAAGCAGTATCTTCTCTTCTGTTAAACCCTCTGACACGGTGTTAGCTCTTTTCACTGGGCTAATTTCTATTTATTCTTCATGATCCAGTTTTGACGTCACTTTTTTTCATAAAACCATCTCTCACCTCCACATGTTATACTCAGTAGCATCTCTAAGTACAGTACTTATCATCATACTGTGCAGTAATCATGTATCTCCTCCTCTAAATTTCAAGCTCTACGTAGAATAAGAACTATGTCTATTTTTTCATATTACAATCCTAGCACCAAACAGCAATACACCATGAAACTGAAAGCATGACTTCTAGTCACAGAGACTCAAAAATTGTTACAAGCTGTCAAAATTTGGGACAGTTACTTAAACTCTAAGATTCCTTACCTGTAAAGTATAGCTAATACCACCTTTCAAGGCTATTCATGGATTAAATATATATAATATGTGAAACATTTGGCACAATGCTTGATACACAGAAATGTTAGCTATTATTACTTAGTACGCATCAAAGAAAATATCTGCTAAATGAATACACTATTCACAAATTATTAAAAACATATTTTAATAATGCTAACCTCATATAATTCATTGTATTTCCAAGTATATACTTCTATAAGGAGGTTTCAGTTTTAATCATGTCCATGGCACCAAAGTTTCTTATAGACAATATTTACTTGAGTTATAAAGCAGAATGTTCAAAAAGAATGACCTGTGCCTCATTTTCAGGAACAATCTGTTTATGAAGTCGAATCTGCTCCAAGCCAGGACTTTCTAGAAAATTTGGATTACTGTTACAAATTGAGGCAGTTACATTATACCTTGCTGACTGATAAAAGCTGTAGTATTCAAGTCTATTTTCCCTTGAGTTTTCTAGTGCCTTTAGTTTTTGTTTAAATTGAACAACTTTGTAGATCAAAAAAATGATTAAAACACAAGCTAAGATGAAAAAAGCCAGCAAAATGTCAAAAGCCTCATTCAACTTCTCAACTTCTTGTGTACAAATCAGAGATGTTTTCCCTGACATTGAAGCAGCATCAATCGGTAGAGCACTGTTTTTTTCCAAGTTCAAGGTAACAGAAGTAGTAAGCTGTATCTGCACAGGTAACACTGCTGTAGTCTCTAATGGATTACCAAAGGCATTCTCTTGAAAAAATCTACCGGCAGGTGAAGTAGATTTTCGTTCCCAGAAAGTAATGCTCTCAGTCTCAGTATTTTCCAGAGGATTGCCACTGGTGGTTACTTTAGGCCAGGCCATCATTAGTGCAGTAGTCTTGTGATGAATGTGAGGAGATTTTACAACAACCCAAGCTCTGGATACATTTGTTGAAGACGTAACACAATTTGTAATGTTAATATAACGTAATGCTCTGCCACGCATGGATGGGGGATTCTGACAATAGACGTTTAGGGTAATGGCTGAAGATGTTAGCCAGTCTCGAAGGCCCGCAAGTTTGCAGTTACATTCCCAAGGATTAGAATTTGCCTGAAGATGAATCAATGAAGACAATGGCTTAAGGACCCTTGGATGCAAGTCTGTAAGATTATTAAATGACAGATTAAGGATCTTCAAAGATGTTCCCATGTTTTCAAATGTATCATTATCAATGCTAACTATTCTGTTTCTATCTAACTTAAGGTAAATTAAATTCTTTAACAAACTAAATGTGTCAGAATTTAAATTCTCTAAATCATTATGACTTAAGATCAAATGTTTAAGATTATTAATTCCACTAAATCCATCCCTAGTAATATTTCTAATTCTTGAATTTTTCAGAAGGAGATATTCCAAGTTGACAAGTCCTTTAAATGCAAAGGGCTGTATTACTTCAATGGGATTATGAGACAAAGAAAGTCTTCTAAGACTTTTAAGTACTTCAAAGGCATTTGATGGTACTTTTGTTAAAGTATTACTTTCTAGATACAAACAAGCAAGGTTTCCAAGATGCTGAAAGCCTGAGTCTGATATCCTCAAAATGTTATTGTTTGATAAGTCAAGTATCCGAAGAGCAACCATACCAACAAAGGTACCACTTCCAAGAACAGTGAGGCGATTCCTTTGTAGATTTAAGTACTGAACTGAAACTAGATCATTAAATACTCCTCTTGGAACAAAAGATACCTGATTAGACTGTAAATATAAATTACGAAGATTTACCAGTCCCTTAAATATTCCAGGATCTAAGCGTTTGATAAAATTATTATTTAGAAATAGAAAATATAGACGCCTCAATTGAACAAAGGCTTTTGGATATACATACAGAATGTTAGAATTATCTAAATACAGTGCTACAAGAGAATGAAGTCCTGTTAGTTCACTTTCATTTATATAAGATATATTATTTCCAGTCAGATACAGAAAAACTGTACTTTCAGGAAAATTCTGAGGAATACTCGAAAGGCCTAGGTTACGGCAGTTAATTTGTCTCCCAGTGCAGAGCTGACAAACAGACGAACATCCAAGTATTTCTTTGTGAAGTAATAATAAAATATAACAGGTAACAAGCAGAAACAGTCGTAGGCAAAGCAGAGAAAACTGTAATCCATACATATCCCTGTTCTTGGTTTTTCTGTTCAGATCAGAATTGGCTATAAAAAGAGAAGGTAAAGCTTAAATCATCAAAACTTCATCAAATGAATACTTTTTTTAATACTATAACTTCTGTATTGTTTTAATTAGGATCAGCCAATAATACTATCATAAATCATACTATGGTAATAGCATTAAATGAGTATGGAATACATTCTAGAATTATTAACATGATCAGGCCATTAACCCATTATTTGACAAAATAGTTCAGATTAATGAAACATTTGCTAAGTTAACTTAAAAATTACAATTGATTACAACATAGGTGACAAATGATACAAGAATGAGAATCTATGAATTTAATATGTCCCTTTAACAACACAGCCTAATATCAAACATTATAATTTATAAAAATACAAATTCACTACAGAACAATTAAACTCTAAATTACAGTTTTTCACAAAACTATTTTTCATGTCAGCTATAAGTCCATACTTAAGTAAATAATCTTACCAGAAACAGGAAATTCATATTATTAACGCTCAGCTGATTCAGTAAAGGTTTTCTTTCTAAATCTGAAGAACGACATTTCCACACTCCATTTTGTTCTGTGGCACTGCTGACCTCCACCCCACCACCTTTTTTTAAAGTCACAGTTTGCTCAGGAAACACCACTCTTCACATTGGTTCCTTTAGAGTCAATGTGTAAAACAGAGGTTGCCATGGATACAGGAAGCTGAGCGACAGGAAGTAATTTTATCTGTGTTTCAAAAGTATTACTGAACGGAAATCTCGGGAACTTATTTTTTCTGAATGCAGTTAGAGTTTTCCTAACATACACATCGAAACATCTCCTATAATTTAAAAATCATAGTTTTTACAAAATACCTGAAACCCTTAGTTATTCAGAACCTAAACATAAACAACAGACTCTAGCTATCAACAACATAGCTATTAAATGGAAAAGACTAGTTGAAATAAGATGCATAGAGAGTAAGATAATTTTTGTAGGCTTTATAACGAATAAAATATTTACATTGTTTTAAATACATATTGAAGACTTCAACTTTATGCTTTATTCCTTTAATAAAAATAGGAAAAAACAATTTAGAATGGTGAACACAAATGTTGTTATATTATCCTCTAGTGCTCTTTTTAAAAGTTTCAAAATATTTTTGGTGGCAAAAACTACTGGGTACTACTTAACATGTTAAGGTACTAACTAGTAGTAAGGTATTAATTAGTATTAAGGTACTAATTGGTTGCCATGGGTTATAAGACGGTAATAAGCTGCATACCAAATTACTGACATAGGTTATCTTTGCAAGAAAAGTTGGGGAGAATGAAAGAGGCGATGTTTTGCCCTATATATATCTGAATTAGTTTGAATCTTTTAGAACAAAAATGGGGAATTTTAATGTAATTTAAGAATTTAAAGAATTGAATATAAATTATTTATATTATATATTGTTCAGTCATTAACTTTCCAAAAGGCTAGTTGCTTAAGCTTTCTAATTCGTTCATTAATATTACTAATACCCTGATAATATTCCTAAAATATCAATAGTTATATAATTGTATAGAACTTTTCTTTGATGTTAAAGCAGTTTTATTTCACATCAAGACAACAATTACTTTAGATAATAATTATGTCTACACTAGATACCTGAAATAATATCTAGCACTATCTTTCTATGACTAAAAATTCAGAAATGCATACTGAATAGCAGATCTTTATCAAAATGATTTATGATTCTTATAACTATCCTTTATGGTTGGCTATTGTTACTGCTATTTTATGCATTAAAAACTAGAAAACAAAACAAATGACAAAAATGACATGAACTTGAGGTAGGGCTAGGTTTCTCAGGTCCACTTGGTTTAGTACTTCCAATAACATACAAAGTGATATGAGGCTTGTCCCACGGATTTTTCAATTGCATAATATAACTTAAAGAGTTAGGAAAAAGTCAGAGAAAGGGTCTTTTGAAATAAAAATTAATTTAAAGGGAAAAAACCCACACAGTAATATAACCAGAGTATTAATTTTGTTCTCTATGGCAAAAATAGCCAACACAGTCAAAGAATACTTGTTAGTTCTCCCATTCTGTAGGCTGCCTGTTCACTCTGTTGATAGTTTCTTTTGCTGTGCAGAAGCTCTTTAGTTTAATTAGATCCCACTTGTCAATTTTGGCTTTTTTGCCATTGCTTTTGGTGTTTTAGTCGTGAAGTCTTTGCCTATATCTATGTCCTGAATGGTATTGCCTAGGTTTTCTTCTAGGGTTTTTATGGTTTTAGGTCTTACTTTTAACTCTTTGATCCATCTTGAGTTTATTTTTGTATAAGGTGTAAGGAAGGGGTCCAGTTTCAGTTTTCTGCATACAGCTAGTCAGTTTTCCCAACACCATTTATTAAGTAGGGAATCCTTTCCCCATTGTTTTTGTCAGGTTTGTCGAAGATCAGATGGTTGTAGATGTGTGGTGTTATTTCTGAGGCCTCTGTTCTCTTCCATTGACCTCTATATCAGTTTTGGTACCAGTACCACAATGTTTTTGTTACTGTAGCCTTGTAGTATAGTTTGGAGTCAGGTAGCATGATGCCTCCAGCTCTGTTCTTTTTGCTTAGGATTGTCTTGGCTACGTGGGCTCTTTTTTGGTTCCATATGAAATTGAAAGTAGTTTTTATCTAAGTCTGTCAAGAAAGTCAATGGATAGCAGTGAATCTATAAATTACTTTGGGCAGCATGGCCATTTTCACGATATTGATTCTTCTTAACTATGAGCATGGAATGTTTTTCCATTTGTTTGTGACCACTCTTACTTCCTTGAGCAGTAGTTTGTAGTTCTCCTTGAAGAGGTTCTTCACATCCCTTGTAAGTTGTATTCCTAGGTATTTAATTCTCTTTGTAGCAATTGTGAATGGGAGTTTACTCATGATATGGCTCTCTGTTGGTCTGTTATTGGTGTCTAGGAATGCTTGTGATTTCTGCACAATGATTTTGATTCCTGAGACTTTGCTGAAGTTACTTATCAGCTTAAAAAGATTGTGGGCTGAGACGTTCTTATATAATTTGCATTAGGAGGTTTTTCTTAACAAATGGAGCTTGAGAAAATGGAACTTAAAAAATTAACTATATACAGTGACCAAACTTCATAACAAACTATGGAAGAATGTGAAAACCCTGGCACGGTGGCATACACCTGTGATATCAGCACTTTGCAAGATTGAGGCAGGAGGATAACTTGAGCCTAGGAGCTCAAGCTGAACCTGGGCAACATGGTGAAACCCCATCTTTACAAAAAACATAAACAATTAGTTGGGTATGGTGGTGCGTGCTTGTAGTCCCAGCTGCTGGGGAAGCTGAGGTGAAGGAATCACCTGAAGCTGGGATGTCGAGGCTGCAGTGAGCCATGACTGGGCCACCATACTCCATCCTGAATAATAGAGTGAGAACCTGTCTCAAAAAATTAACAAATAATCAAAAAAAAAAAATACACAATTATTGTGTACTATAAAATCAAGATTATATAGTTTAAAGGTACTGTGCACTGTGACTAAGGTACCACTGGAATTTTAGAGCTGTAAACACCAAATAATACTTCCAATGTATTTTCTATGTCATCTCTTCCAGATAAGTATCTATAATGTACTGGAGAACCTCAATAAATACTTTCTTAATGAATGCACTTGATTTCTAGAGAGAAGACAGAAAGAATGATTTGTTGTCCCTTTTATGAACAACTTAAATAAAACGAGAGATGTAATTTTAAGTGGCTGGAAGAAGTACCTTACTTTAATAATGAAATTATCTAGGATTATGATCTCATTTTTTGATAAGACTAATAAAAATGACTCAGAAATAGTAAAACAATAGACAAAATAGCATTACTTGAGGTACTCAATAACCTGGCAGAATAGACATTAAGAGTAAGATGGACTGGATTTGAATTTCAGTTTGGTAGTTGACTTTGCGTGGGTAATTAGGCTTTACTAGTCTTGATTATACATTTAAAGGTTTAATAAGGCCAGACACAATGGCTCACGCCTGTAATCCCTGCATTTTGGGAGGCTGAGGTGGGTGGATCACCCGAGGTCAGGATTTCAAGACCAACCTGGCCAACACGGTGAAACCTTCTCTCTACTAAAAAAACAAAAATTAGCCGGGCGTGGTAGTGTGCGCCTGTGATCCCAGCTACTGGGGATGCTGAGGCAGGAGAATAACTTGAACCCGGGAGGTGGAGATTGTAGTGAGGCGAGATTGTGTCACTGTACTCCAGCCTGGACGACAGAGCGAGACTGTCTCAAAAAAAAAAAAAAAAAAAAAAAAAAAAAAAAAAAAAAAGGGTAGAGATGCTCAAACAAAAAAAAAAAAAAAAAAAAGGTTAATAATGTCCATCTCCCTAGGGCTGTTGGAAGAATCCACTGAAATGTGTATGAAAAACATATTGTATAAAGGCTATCACAAATTATGTGTTCTATTAGTTATTATTTACTTCTTCTTATCACCTTCTTCACACATAAACTAGATGAATGTGGGAAAGCTTCCAAAGAAAGCTTTCTACCTACTAAATAACTGGTACCATCACACAGTTAGTCAAAATGATTAATAGTAGAAACAATTATTTACCGAGAGGTCATGTTCATTAAGCATTTTAGAAGGCATTATTATATATACATTCTCCAATTCATCATAATAAGCCCTAGGTGCTAGCTGTTAACACTGCTTTCATTTGAAACATGAGAAAACAGAATGAGAGAAAACTGGTCCAATGTCACATGAACTCTACGCAGAACATGCATCTGAAGCTAAATCTAGCTTATCTCTCCATCATAATGCGTTTTTTTCTCTCTGGGACTCTGGAGAGAATGAAAGCAGAAACTCAAGGAAAAGAATCTCCAAAATAAATAAATAAACAAACAAAAAAGATATTCCTCAGGCTATGAAGGAATCACTTGCGACAAACACATGCATCATCTACATGGGGAAAAACTAGAAAGCTCAGGAGACTCTCATCATTTTCCTCCTGAGTACTTTTTCTGTTGTCATCCTTGTTGGAGCTAGCTACTCTGTGTACAATTACTTTTCTGTATCATTTCAACTACTTTGAGGATCTGAACCCAATACAGCATTCTCACTGATTAACATCTCTTATTCTCATTATAAAGCAGTTTGAGGTCCTGAAACATCAAAATAATCTCATTTGATCATAGTGTAGTTTTCTCTGGTGATATGTTTGAAAGAAGCTTCTCATACAATGGTCAGTGATTAATTAAGGGCACCCAGTGTCTATAATATGACTGCTACATATGAAAACAGTTTGCCAGAAGCCTTTATCTAATTTGCAGACAGGGCATCATTCCTAGATATGAGGAAAGCATTGAGAACGTAGTCCCAAATTCACAAGCATTCAGAAACTCTCCTAAGAAGTCAGGACAGGAGACAGAAGACACAAATTGTTGTTCTAAGATGCCAGAGTATAATAAATAATAATCTATCCTAAAGGTGAAATACAATGTGTCCTCAGTACACAGCATGGTGACCTAGCACATAACAGCATCTTTAAAACATTGCTGTTGTATTAGTTAGTGTCCTAAAGTTGATATCAGAAGAAGAAGTGAGTATTTTAATTCTAATGTATGTTTCAAGAGTAAATTTGTATTAAAAACGAAAACCAAAATAGACTATTCCCATTCAAATCCTAATGTAGGAAGATAGAAATACTTCAAAAAGTGTGGCACTTTGGGGGAGGAGGAAGTGTGTGGAGGGGAATATCTGGTTTTCAAAGAACTTTCAGAAGCTTAAAAAAAGTTTTATAAATGATTATAACCTTTCAATTAAAAGTCGGCAAGCCAAGGAATTAATCATTTACCTTCTTTCTCAATGAAACTGCTTTGTATACAGATGAAAG